TTTGTGCCCCAACAGGTGAGATTGCAAGTTGGCCTTTACATTGTATACTTAATGGACTGGTTGACCGTTTTCAGCAGGGAACAGATCCTTATCTTGAGGTTAGAAGACCATGCTAATAACAGGAAATACACGATGCACAAAGTCTTTGACTTTCTCAGCCTCGGTAAGTAAGATAAGACGTAGATCAGTGTAACACGAAACAAGTTTTCTTCTAAAACAGCTGAAAGGTGCAGAAAGCCATCACATTACAGAAGTGTTTTGTATCCTACAGGCCAGCTGACAAAAGAAATAGAGTCAGAAATCACAAGAAGTCCAGCGTCCAACACCAGAAGACCGGCAGATAAAAACTTGGGGCCAATGCTGCCGATCACTAAGGAGATCCTGCAGGACTTTTACTCGCCGTTCAATCAGAAACTGGCTAAAGTTCTGAGGAATGACTCCTTCCTCTGGGAGAAATACTCTAAACCCTGACCGACCCGACTTCATTGTCATCTCTCTCAAGTGCCCATGAAACTCAACGTATTTTTTAAATGTAAATTATTTTTAAGTTATAAATGCAGAGATGGATCAGAAATACAAAAAAAAAAAAAAAAAAAAAACAATTAAAAAAATTAAAAAGCACAAGTGAGTGTGACGGTTTTGCGTGAGTGTGTGTGTAAGAGAAGACGTGTGTGAATACAAGTGATGCTTGCAGGTTTTCATTTGTGGGTTTTGTGTCCAGAAAAAAATAAAATAAAATGGAGAATTTTGAGAAAACAAAACAGAGTCTGATGTTTTATTAAGTTGTGTTTTACACATAAATAATAGTTGAAATCTCAGAGATGAAAACAGGATATGTGGCAGTTTTTGATTGATTCTACCTCCTAATATGATACAGGAAAATAAACTCCATAAGTGAGACGACATTACCCCCTTCTGTAAAATCCATGTAGCTGCAACATTAAAAATAATCCCTCTTTAAGGAGGCTGAAGCTGTTTTTAATGACAAATATCTATCTAGATCTGAGTTTGTCTGTTACAAAAGTTTAAGAGAAAAAAACCCTACTTTTAATCATTTTTAAATTTAATTTTAGTGAGTCAGTTTGCAACGATATAACTATAAAATCATTCTGTTTAAACCCTCACGATCGCTTTTTGTGTCTAAGCAGGAATAAAGAGTGAGCAAAACTGCATTTAAGGGCATGTTTGTCTGTTTGTTAGTAAAATATCACTTGAAACACTGAACAAAATTTACTGAAACGTTCAGAAAGTAATCATCGGATGTTCAACAGTTGATTGTTTGAGAGTCAGCCTGATTCGAAATGGCTGCTACAGCCGAGTGACTTTAAAAATGCATAAATGACTTGAACTCTCTCACTCCTGCAGATATTGACCTAAAGTTTGGTGTGGTAGTTGCTGAGAATGATCCTTAAAACACATTTTGGTACCACTTTACAATAAGACACCCCTTATAGATGCGTAATAAATAGTTTATAGATACATTATTAATTCCTCACTTTATAAATCATTAATAACTGCCTATTGTGCATTAATTAAGGGTGACACAGAGACAAACCTGACCAGTTTCTTACCAAACAGTGAGCCAAATCTGTTCACCTATATATTTCATTTAGAGCTGTTATATTAAACATTTCAAACTAAGTTACTACCTTGTAAGCACAATAAGCATTTGTAAACCTATTTATTTAGTATATAATATTGTACTTAATGACTGCATTATAAGTATCTACAACTAATATTATATAAAAAAAATGTAGTAACTTAGTCTGACATGTTTAATATAAAAACTCTAGATGAAATAAACAGATTTGGCTCACTATTTGGCAAGAAACTGGCCAGTTTTCTCTGTCACCCTTAAGGAATGCATAATAAACAGTTATTAATGATTTATAAAGTGTTTTGTCTACAAACATTTTATTAGCATCTGTAAGGGGAGCCTTGTTGTACCCATATTTTTAAGTGCTAACAGACTGTGCAAGCCCTCTGTTTTATTCCATTTGCAGACAACTGTCTGTTAGCGAAGTATCTTATGAAAAATCAGACACATTTTGAAGAATTTTTCAGAAAATAATTACTAGATATATTTCTACATCTGATAATAACTGATATGACTTTGTAATTTCTCAACAAAGATCATCTTAATTTAAAACTCTGACATAAACGACATAAAAGGCAGCTATGATATGATCCTTACAGGAATGCTGGGCCTTTCATTTCTAAAGGTAAGAAAATGGGACACGTGGACATGTTGAAGTGCTGTTTGTAGTATGTTTTCAACACAAGAGGGCAGACAGGGCCTATATGAGGAATGGTAAAAGTTTGCCTCGTTTTTCAACAGTAAAAAGAAAACACATCCAAATGATAATCAGCTACCAGAAAACTTACAGTCAGGCTGATTTTACCAATAAAGTTAATTTAGCTGGTGTAAAGGAGGGATTGTAAGTTTGTAACGCTTCGTTTGTCCAGTCACAACTTTTTCTTATTTAAATCAAGGCAGTCTGGCAGGACAGTCAGCGTTTGTGCATGTCTTTGTTTGAAGCTGGACGCTTCACCCATCTGCTTTGAGACGTCACGCTTTGATGAAAGGCTTCAACCACGTTCATTTTCCTTGGAATTCACAAAGTTACCAAAACCTCCTTTGACCTGGTCTGTGTCGTATCAGAACCCAGTACCTGGCAGAAACTGGACAGCTGAAGCTGTAAAGAGAACCCATAGAAATTGTACGTTCAGTCATCTGGATTCTCATTATTTTATTTTATTTTACTTCTATAGATTTTTGGCCTTTGTATGATAAAATATGCAACTTGTTGTCATGGAAACTGTTTTTGGCAGTTCTGTCAGTCAAGCATCCCACGTGGAACTGATTCATATAATGGCAACGCAGACTTACATTTTGGCAAAGAGATTCCTACTTATGCAATTTTAATAATGGAAAATTTAGAATAAATCCAATAGATAATAACAGGAGAGAAGATAATCAACCAGAAAGAAAGTGCAGAGAAGGAAATTAAAATCAGTTCTGGCTAACATCAGGTAAGAGTTCACGCTTAAACGTGAGCCTGAGATTGGGAATTATTAACATGAGTGAAGCTGCAGCACTGTTTGAAAATATATGAATTAGCAACAAATTAACAGATAATAAAGAAAGTTCACTAGCCTGTCTGTAAAAATGTCTTTTAGCATTAACTGTGAGTTCAAAAGAGTTGTACGAGTCACATCAAAAAGCTCAGCGCATTGTGCATGTTCTGCAACATGCATGTGCATTTTCCTTTTGTAGAGTATTTGTGTTGCTCTGTGAGCAAAAGTCACACAAATGACTTTTAGAAAATGTGCCCAAAATGCTTTTACTCAAAGTTCTAATATTCATCCATCATCATTATGTCAATAAAACCAAAGTTGGAAAAGAAGAAAGCTCCTTTTATAAAGAGTAACTATATATTTTTGATGTAATCTGATTATATGATTTAGATGAGCCACATGCCATGTGTGCAACTCGCTGTGTGTTTTACAATACAATCAATGTTTTGTGCAAATTAGAAAGTCCTCAAACTAAAACGAGCATTTCTCAGAAAGTCTGAAATGTTGATTTGTGCAAATCTGACAGTTTTTTGTTTTGTCATGTAGAAGTTATTTTGGCGTCAATAGATATAATCCAGTTTATTTTTTAGAGATTCCCAAAGATAGCTGTTTTATTAACTTTACAGTAGTCCCTCGATTATTTATCCAATCACAAGCTGCCCATGATGTAGTCCACCACCTCGTCCTGATCTGGACTAGCACCGCGCTACCAGAACCAGGCCAAACCCCGCCGCTGTCTGTCCCCTGCAGCCCCCATGATCCGGGTCACACTGAGTCCGGATCAACTGCAGTCCAGATACTCAGTGAAGATACAACTTAAAGGATGAGTTCAGCTTCAGGATTATTTGTGACTTTCTTGCCAGTTCTGTCAGTTTAATAGATGGCGTAGATTTGCAAAATATTCTCTCCATTTGGCAGAAAGCAGTGGCTGGAAGCACTGTTGGCCTCTGGGTAAAGTAGTTCTTTTGACTGGCCTTACAGTATAGAAAACTACAAAATGGCGGCACTTGTCCAAAGTATTTTTTTGTTGTTAAATCTTTATCTGTACCATCCCAATCACCTGAGTAATATTAAAGTTGACAATTGTTGAAAACTCGCAAAAGAGAGTCTGCGAAAGTTGAACTGCAAAGTAGCGAGGGACTGCTGTACTCTGCAGCAGAGGTGGACAATCAGAAAACAACGTTGTTGCTTGAATTTGGTCACGTCAGCTCAGTAGGAGATCCAACATCAACATTCAGGTTTGATTGTGTCCAGACTACCAAACGTATGCAAATAAATGGGTAAAAATGTTTTCAATGCACATTGAGGCCGTTCAGATTCGTTTAGTGCTCTCTGACGGCAATCTGATCACTAAAGATGTCTTCACCCAACAGCTGGAGCAAAGGTGATGATGTTTTTGTTCTGTGATGAATGCCTTCTTGTTAAAATATACAGACACGGATACAAACGTTGGTCCCTTTCCACAATGATATAAAAATCACAACTAATGTGACTGACTAAGAAGCTCCAGTTTTGTCTCATTAATCTCAAAACCTTGGTGGCTTGTCACAATGAATGAAAATGATCATATCTCAGCCAAAAATTGGTTTATAAATATGGGGAAAAAATCCATAAATACATCACTTCAGCCTATAAGTTGCAGGGCATGTAAATTATGCAAAAAAACGTGACTTATAGGCTGAAAAATACGGTAAATGCCACAGCAGGTTTTGAACAGTTGAAAAGTTGTCAAAGACGAATGCATCGTTTGGCTTTTTAATAAGATCTATTGACAGAGAAAAGAAGGTGGAAAACATAATTTTATCCTTTGAGGGAAGTTGGCTCCATCATTCAGTCGATCCCAGCAGCTGTAAACCGATATAATCTGGATGCTAGCAGGATGAGGATGGAGTCCCTGAACCAGTAAGCGTCTTTTCAGGTCACATTTAGAAGATTTGGAACAGGCTGTAGGAGGTTGTTAGGGATTTTATTTTCTTCAAGGTCAGTTTCATTTCTCTCATTTTAACTAGGCACTGAAGCACAGCATTCTGAGTGATGGCTCCCTCGTCTACAATTTTACCACAACTTTTCTTAACTTCTGCTCTCAGCCTCATCACGGTTTAGTCCTTTGAGCAATAATAAAAAGTCTGCACCAAAGACCTCTAAACTTCTCCAAACCAGTCGAGACCAGCAACAAAGTAAACCCCCCTCCTTGCACATATGCGAGCCAAGTCAAAATGAAAAGTGCTCATTTGAATCACAGCTATGTCTCACTTGGCTAATAGCGCATTTCTTGAAATAACAAGAAAATAACAAACTGGATAAACAAAGCCTATGAAACAAACATTTGTAATCCATCTAGTTGACTGAATGCTCTGATAAGCTGCCAGCTGTCTCAGCCATGTTCAGTGATAAAGTAAGAAAAACAGATTTATTAAACAGATTTCTGCAGCTGAAGGGAAATGATCTCGCCGGACTTCTCATTTAAAACTAGTAATACAGCAGTGATTTTATTATAAGCCGAGAATATCACTCTGGTCTTTTTCCAAACTTTAGTTGGAGGAGCTCAAAACATCTGTTTGTGATATACAACGCTATGCAGTTTTATCTGTTTTGGACATGCGCTGCAGAAATAGAAAAGAGTTCCTGGTAAAGCTTGAGATTTCTGCTCTGTGCCT